AGAGAGAGAGAGAGAGAGAGAGAGAGAGAGAGAGAGAGAGAGAGAGAGAGAATTTACCATTCACATAAGTTTTGGTAGAGTATGTTTTTATGATGGCTCTATTTCATAAGTGTTAACATCTATTACGGGCCTATTTCATAAATTGAACTTTAACGTAAGCATGGGAAAACATAGGGTCCAGCACAATCTGTGGTTTCAGGCATTCACTGAGGGTCCTGGAAAGTGTCCCCAGCACATAAGGAGAACTACTGTACCCTCCTACACACCCTGAATGAAAGATATAATTTCTCTGCATTCTTTCCATTGCTGTTGCTACTTTTTATCTTAGTTCTTTTGATAGGTACTGCATAGTATCTCTTTGTGGCTCTAATTAACATGTATCTAATGATGAGTGATACAGAGCTTGTATTCATGGGCTTATCTTTCTTCTAGAATATATTCTTCTGTTCTGTGCATTTTCTTTGAAAAAATATGTTGCTGTGTCTATAACCACTTTATAACTGAAATATTTGCACTTTTACTCCTAACTTTTGAGAATTCATATTCTGAATGCTTGCTCTTTGTGAGATAAATGGTCTAAAATATTTTCTCTAGGTCTATCACTTGTCCTTTAATCCTCTTCATAGGCTTTTTCACAAAGTGAAAGTTTTTAATTGTCGTGAAGTTTAACCCACCAACATTTTCTTCTATGGATTATGCTCTTGTCATCAAATTTAAGAATTTCACTTAGCGCCAAGACCCTAGGATTTTGGGTTGTATTTTTTACTGTAAGTTTTAAATCTTTACATTTTCTGTTTTAGCTTATTACCTATTTTGAGTTAATTTTTAAATAAAATATTAGGTTTAAGTCAAATTCCTCACCATTTCCATCTCGGAGCCAATGCAATTACTTCGGCACATTTATTAAAAACACCCTTCACTCCCAGCAAATTTCTTTGGCTCCTTTGCCCAAAGCCATCCAGGAGCTCTCCTGCTGTCCCGTACATGGCTGATTTCTCGAGTCACGCTGTGAAACCTGTCATTCCCTGTGTGTTGGCATTCCCAGCGTGGTCTCTGGAACTGCTTCTCCCTCACCACCTTCTCTGCCTCGGGGAGCCTTACCTCACACTGGACTCTGTGAAGGGTCTCACTGCCTGGACTCCTACCTCACACTCACAATCTTTTATTTGGTTGCAAAATTTTTTTCTCCTATTCTAACATAAATTTCTTGAGGCAGGGGAAAATGTCTCTTTCCAAGTGAGATGTAATACTTAGTTACATCTCAAAGGGTGTGAATAAATATTTTCAGTAGTTTTGTAAGTGACACCATGTGTACAAAGTATAAATGTATATAAAATATAAATTATTTTTATACAGAGACGCATGCTCTAAATTAATGGGGAGAATATTTTGTTATATTTCATGATGTCAGTAGCTACGGATATCCACTTTCCAGCAATATATTCCTTATTTCTTTCTGTGCTTTTTGTTTTTGTTTTTTGTTTGTTTGTTTGTTTGTTTGTTTTTTGGCGGAACTGGGGATTGAACTCAGGCCCTTGTGCTTCCCAGGGAAGCGCTTATTCCACTGAGCCATCTCCCCAGACCTGTTCTGTGCTTTTTGAATATGAGCCTTTCTACCTGATGGCTATGAAACTTCTTTAATCCATGCTATAGCTCAGCATTTGAAATCTAAGAAAACACATAATAATAAAAAAGCCAAGAGGCATTCGGGATAATTTAACTAAACTGACATTTAATTTATTTTAAGCTTTGTGCATTATAAAAGCAGCAATAAAATTACAAGCATAGAGATTACTTGATAGTATCAGATGCATGCATAATTTCTCAATGCCTTGAAATAATTCTGGGTCTTCTTACGCTCGTGGTTCACTGATCAGAAACCAGAATTTACCTGTATTTGTGGCGCAAATGCACATTACTTATGCTGTTGGCCACATTTAAAATTACTACAAAGAAAAAAAAATCCAGAGTCCACACATTGCCAGTGCCAATCCTTGCATAATCCAGTCCAACAGAAATTAGAAGCAATGTGTGTGGAAGGGACCATTTTAATGATAGTCATCAAGACAGCAAGCGCTCATCACATAAACGAGTTTGGCAAGGGAGCTAGCTGAATTTGGACAGCCGGGAGAGAAAAAGAGGGCATAATATTCGTATTTTTCTCCCATTATACTGTACCCTATAATGAGGATATTTATAAGAAATGCCAAAAAAGTACTACTTCCATATCTGATTTGACTCCCTTTCCCCCATTCTGCCAAATCCCCGATTTATTTCTGTACATCTCTAAGGTTACCTTACCGGATGTCTTCATGAGTAAGTCCTGTGCTTAGCAGAAGCCCAGGGAGTTGCCACACAGCTCCGCCCTCTTTGGAGCATCTGCCTACTTCTGCCTCCTCACAGAGCACCAGCCCCCACTGCAGCTGGGATCCTTCAACCTCCCCAAACCAGGCAGTGTGCTGTGAAAGCAGAGAGGATGACCCTGCTCTCTCTTTATATATAAATCTCTTAGATGAGTACAAAAGGGATTTCACATTGCAAACCAATGTATTACAAAGTTTTTTCATGAAAATAGTTCTTTGCATTGTTATTCATAGGCGCATTCTGCTCAGCCTGGAGAGAGGACAGGTTAGGGACAGGGTCAAATGGCAAGGCTCCGCCCTCCAAAGCCTGAAGCTCCAATTGGTACAGGCTCCAGCTCCTTTACTGGACACTTCCCAGAATGCCTCTCGACAACCTCTGTCACATGCAGGCTGGACAAGTCTCAAAGTGCATCTGGAACCAGGGGAGGATGATAGGCTGCTGTCCAACAGTCTTAAGAAGTAGAGTGGGAGGCCAGCAAGATAGCTCAGCAGACTAAGTGCCTGCTTAAGCAAGTGCAGGGATGAGAGTTCGATTCTGGGCATTACATGCTGCACCAGCTCCACTCCCAGGAGTGCTGAGCCACCATCAAGACCTGACGTGGTGGCACATGCCTGTAATCCCAACATTGGGGAGGCTGAAAACAGAAGGATCACTACAAGCCCAAGCTGCATAGTGGGACCCTGTACCAAGCACATTAAAAAAGAAGAAGCAGGGTGAGGATTCTGATTCCACTCCTGTTGTTCTTTCCACCCTAGCAGCTTGGCACCTTATTACAAACCATCATTTTCAAATAATTCACTACAAGTACAGAATTTCTATCCAATATCAGAATCACATAGTTATAGTCAATGTGTTTGGTAAATCATATCCTTTCCTTAGATAATATGCTGGGGCCGGGGAGATGGCTCAGTGGAATAAGCGCTTCCCTGGCAAGTACAAGGGCCTGAGTTCAATCCCCAGTTCTGCAAAAAAAAAAAAAAAAAAAAAAAAAAAGAAAAGAAAAGATAATATCCTGCTATAATGTGTACAAGAAGAATCAAACAGGACAGCGCTCAGTGTCCTTATTGCTTTACCCATCTTAAAATCCCCTACAGAATGCTGTAAGTGGCAACTGCAGCACAGTGCTGGACATGCAGGACACTCAGTGAGCAATAGTCCTTCTCACCTGTTCATTGTCTCATTTTATTTTCACAATATAATGAGAACTGTACAGTCATGCATCATGTCATAATGTTTTAGTCAACCATGGGCCACCTATAAGACAGTGGCCCAGTAAAATTACATCTCCTGCCTGCATCAGAATGAGCTCAGTTTGTATCAGCACAGCCTGACGGTCGCTAAACAAATGCCCTCATGGCTTATGTTTCGGAACATGTACTATCATTAGCAACGCATGCCTGTATTTATAAATGAAGATACGGAGGCCCAGAGGTCCCCTAATTTGCTCTCAAGCTTAGAATTACCTGAACAGAAAACCTTCACCGCACTATACTGGCTCCACCTACAGCATCCTCCTCCTGATTCATTTGCCTGGAACTCTGTTTTATCATCCTTTCTGCTCAAAACGCCTCTTAACCGGCACTAGACACACCAGTGTCTGTCTTATGGTTCTCCCACTACAATTATGAAAATGCAGTTTAGAATTGTGTACTAGCCCCCGTGTCGAACAATATACAGTGAATGCTTGTTTTGAAATTAATGGACACCAATTACATTACAGGCTTTCTACTGGATGTAATAAATCTACACCTACAAATTCAGTATTTGTCAGAAGGTAGTAAAGACTTGGCTCATGCTTATAGAGAAAAATTATTATAAAGTGAAATTAAAAGAACAATTCATTTATGGTTCTGTTTATATGAAGGGAGAACGACTATTAAATCATTGCTTGAAAACATCTCAAGGAATATATTCATCTCTATAGTTCTCTAAGATTAACCACTAATTATTCATTGATTTTTAAAAAGTGCCTTTGTTTTACCAGAAATGTTATGAAGTAAAGCAACTCTCTCTCTCTCTATATATATATATATATATAGAGAGAGAGAGAGAGAGAGAGAGAGAGATGTATATATTATACATGAGGTGCAATAATTACATGTTTATAAACTGTCAATTTTAATAAAATAACTTTTGTATAATGAAGCACAGGTTTAAAAATCCAGTAAGCAATACAAACTTCGGAAGTTCAACTGTTACCATTTTAACCGAGAAGATAATTAATTTCTAAAGTCATTTATTGAACTTTCAGGTTGCTAGATAGCCAAGAGAAATAATTTTTTTCTGGAAAAGTGGTGCAAAATACCAAGAAATAATTCCCCTTTTCATATGCTTGATGAATATGTTTTAGTGGAAATTTATCAGAGTTGCATAAAGCCCAGGCTTTGTAGTACAGCTTATATTGCTGTCATTTGTTTTTCCTCACAGAGCTAAAAGTAAGTACAGTCACCACTATGCAACTAAAGAGCAGGTAATGGTAGGTCATGTAAACATAAACCACTGGAATTTTTAAGCTTACATTTTCAGAATCATAGAATTCACAGAGCCAGATTTTCCAGAGGCCCGGTGCTTGGAGTTGCTCCATTTTTGTCCTTCATATGCTATAACATTTTGAAAGCCCCTTCATCTGCTTTCTCTGTAAAACCACAGAGGACTTCATCGGCTGAAAGTATTCTAGCAAGGGAAATGGAGAACAATTTTAAACACTCAGAGATTTTTGTAGATAAGACATTTCTTCAGAATACTGGGGAAGATTTCTAGGCAGCATTAGGCATCCAGATCGCTGGTAAGAACATCAATTAGAGAGGTAGGGTTTTGTTTAAGGTAAATCCTCTGTTGTCATAGGCAGCTCAATAGATGAGAAAAAAAATCATTTGAATGAGCAGCAGTGGAAAATTGAAAGAATATAAGAGGCAGTCAGAGGAAACTGTGGAGCAGGGTAGACCACACTGACATGTCACTTCTCATGTCCCTTGACTGGGACATGGTTTTTTTGATAAGTGAATGATTTCTCAGGGTAACGGGTAGACTGACCTGGAACAAAATTTCACTGAGAAGGTAATGCATTCACCAGTGCTCCCCTGTGCTATGCTGAGGCCCACACACCACATCTGCTCCTTGCGGGGACACTGAATTAGCTCCCAGGGCTTCTCTGTGCCTTTGGGTTGCAGACCTTGAGGAAGTTTCTTTCCATCTTGTGATGCGCCTATAAAAAGCAGGTTGGTAGCATCTTGTGGAACTTCTTTTCTAAATAAGTTCTAACATGTTTCCCTGGCAACAATGTCAGATTTCCACTTGGTCCCCCACCCCCTTCCATGTGAGCAACTACTGTCTTTGTAGTACTACATTTCCAACTTCTCTTTCCCCCTACAGGCTCCCTGTGGTAATGGTTGTAGCGTGTTCCCTGGATCTTATAAAGCACAATTGCACAGATCTCATTTTTAAAAACAGAATCACATAAAAAATAACAAGTACAAAACAGCATAGGCAGTATAATTGCAGGTCAGAGGCTTAAAAAGTGATTATACACAGGAAGTAGAAGGAACATCGAAATGTTAACTGTAATTATCTCCCAAAGGTAGAAATTCAAATGTTTCCTTTTCTTGTTCTTTTTCGGCTTCATACATATTTTATTGAATAAACATATAATTTCACAATGAAAAATTAATCAATTTTTAAGTAAAAAGCAAATCATAGGGTGATTTCTCCCATATATACAATGAAATAGTGTTGTAGTATATTTAAGCAGCACAAGAAAATCATAGAAAGCATCTTCCTTATTAGCCTTAACAAAGAAATATGGTGTTCAATTTGCAGCGATATGCAGTAAAGCAGGGATGTTAAATGGTGTAGAATTTTTAAATTTATCCCTAGAAGGTGATTTATAGTCTCACGAAATTTGGAGTGAGTAAATTTTAATGGAATCAGTATATTCTAAGATGCTTTGAGAAATAGTCTGTCATTAAACACCTATATGTTAGTAGAACTTTGCCTTTTTGCAATTAGCATTAGAAATGAAAGATTCTAGCATTAATTTATCCACTCCAGCTATAAGTTACTAGCAGCTAATTTTTTTATTATTTAAAGCAGTATTCAAAAAAAGAGGCATCTAAGCATGTCAAACTATCATTTGTAGTTATTCTTTCTCTCTCTTACTTTCACTTTTCTCTCCTTTTTCAGCTGGTATATGATGAAGTCCCAGAACTCCAAGGACATGTCTTAATGCTTATTGTGAAGAGTAAAACTGTTTTCGTGGGAGCAATTAACATCCAACTCTGTAGTGTCCTGCTCAATGAAGAAAAATGGTATCCACTAGGAAACAGTATAATTTGACCACTGCAATGAGCATCTGCATTATTCATTAACTGCTTGCATTTTTTCACTTCTAGGCCTCTCTATCACAAAAGCATGGCATCTTTGTTGCATAGGGTATTAAGGATGTAAGAAAAAGAAATCAGAATCAGTCTTTTATTATTCATTCTCTATCGGTTCTTTCCTTGTTTACTTAGGATCTTTTCTCCTCAAATGGAATGTTCCTCATTTAAACTTCAATATGTAAAATTAAAAAGTCCATGTTAATGTACCTTTTAAATCAAATATATGTTCACATTTTTTCTTATTTGCCTACAGTTAAAAGTAATATTTTAATGTGCTTTCCAGGAAAGAGAAGCAAATCAATAAATTGAATCAATTAATTCAAATTCTGAGTATAATTGTGGTAGATTTTTAGAATTAAAATAAGTATACACTAGCTACATATTCACTCCTCATCTTGTGTATGGATAAACTGCAGCAAAGTTATTTTCTATCAGAAGCCCAAGCCAGGCCCTTTACCACATACCTGTAATCAAGGAGTGTCAGCTATTCAGGAAGCTTGGATGACAGAATCTCAAGTTCGAAGCCATCCTTGAGCAACTTAGTGATACCTGTCCCAAAACTTAAACATAAAAAGATGGGGGAATAAGGATGCTGCTCAGGGTCTTCAAATCCAGTAGACAAGAGAAAGAGGGAAGAAATAAAACCAAAAAAATAAATGGATGAGATTCTCAAATCTTCTTATTGGAATAAACTCCCCTGCACAGTAATTTTTCAATACTAATCAATCCTGTCACAGGATTTCCCCTACTCAGAAGCATGATGGCAGTGTAAAATTCATGATCCCCAAACTTCCATGTCAAACTCCTTAAACACTCTTCTCTGATCAAAATTTCTTGTATCTTTACACATTAAGTACTTTCCCTCCTTCTCAACTTGCCTTTATAGTTACCAGGCCCAGAATGAATAGTTGTACAGATTTCCACCCACAAAGTAGGTATAACTCAAGGTGCTATGCGCATCCTTTGAGATAATCAAATGAGACACATTTTAAAAATCCTCACCATTTAAATTACTCAACATTTCAAGATGCTTACTTAAGATTTTACTGTGTGTGAATTAAAAAGAAATGAATTAAGCTATTTTGTTAGATCTCCTACATAACCATGTAATCACATGACATTTTTTCACTGAACAGTATTTTACTATCTGCTGTGGGATGATGGCGTCTCTTCTGAAACACATGATCGTGTGAGTCCAGGGCACCCTGAATGCTGCCAGGTAGTCATTCTGCAGGTTCCAGTACCATTTGCTCATTTTGCTAGACTACAAGGGTACCCTCTCCTGTCTGCTAAAACCACGCTACCTCCCTCTCTAATCCTCACTCTAGGCTAATGACTATCTCCTTCTTTACTTAGAGACTAGAATCTGTCAAGGAGTGTCAGTTTAGGTAGAGTGCAGCAGTTAGGATTCGAACCCTGGCCTGCCATGCCAGCCCTGTCCCCGAGGCACCCTGAGATGGCAATTGAGACAGGGCATGGTGGAACACGTTTGTAATCCCAGCACTTGGGAGGCTGAAAACAGGAGGATCACTATGAGTCTGATCTTTGTAGTGAGACCCTGTAGACCCTGTACTACATATGTAAAAGAAAAAGAATCTGTCAAAGAAAGCCTCCCCAGGTTTCCACTTCTGTGCCTACCCCAAGGAGTGGATTCTATGTTTCACCTCTCAATACTACACAGGACTATCCATTCACCTACCCAAAATCAGTTCCTGTGCTTATACATTTGATGCCATCTCCTCTAACCCACTTAGAAATACTGCTGTTGAATTCCCTTCGCACCCCAACAGCAGTGTTCCTTACTCCCCACAACATGATTCTCTTCACCACACCATCGCAGTATTGTTTCTCCCAGAATAGGAAAAGTTGTCCATCACCCCACTTCCCTTCCCCATGATGGTCTGCCAACACTTCCCTGTGACGATCTCAGCTTCTCCAAATGGTGTCTCTCCTACCTCCAGTTTTCCTCTGGTTCCCTTTTAAACCCAATACAGTATTTTCCCCCTACCACTGCAACAAACTTGCTTCTGCCGAGTCACTACTGACCTTTGAGAAGAAAAATCCACAGCTCACTTTTCAGCGATATTCTGATCTTATCTACCACTATGCATCCAACTCAATCAACAACTTCACTAGCTGCAATATGGTTTTCTGCTTGGCTTCCACGTGCCACCCCCACCTGTGCTTTGTCTCATTCACCTTCTGAGTCTTCTCCACACCTTGCAATGCTAGGATGTACAAAAAATTACCCCTTGATCCTCTTAACCAGTTTCACTCCCTTAGTGATTTCATCTAGCTTTAAGACTTTAAATTTCAGGCCAGCGAGATAGCTCAGTGGTCTA